CTGAAAGCCGAACTGAACAAGGCATCCGGTGCTGTAGTGCGGAACAAACCAAGGTTTTACCATGCTGTTTATGTGTTTTTCGTTTTGAACTGCAAAATTTTCCAGGACTTGCCATGACAGTTTTTCTAGCTTTTTTTTTTAGCTTATTCTGCTAGAAATGGATCTGTTATTAACTAGCTTTAAAGCAACTTTCGAGGATGAAAGCCATAAGAGAGTCTTGCTAATGGGTGATTGCAGCTGATACGTACTGTTGCTGTAGTTACGTAATTTGTCTGGAAGGTTCCCCAACGGTTCTGCTCCTCATAGATCGTGAGCAGGAAGATTTTTAACTTTCGATTTCATTGGAAATTGGAGCTGATCTAGGTATGCTTAGTACTGCAGGCCGTAATTTCACTATTTTGTTTCTGGAAAGTACCATAGTCGCTCAGTACCCAGCGCTACTTGCATGACGTGTGGAATTAGCACTGACAGTTTTCAGGGCTTTGACCAGAAATATGAGTGGTATGGTGGAAATTGAAACGGATCGAGCAGTAAGCTTGGAACCGTATAGCGCGTGCAAAGCGCTTGGCCGTATCACACTACGTTCAGCCGGACAAACCATAGCCGCGGGTATCATCGAAAACCTTATTGGCTAACCACATTCATTGCTCACTTTTACTGCTCTGTGTTTTCTTGGATAATGGGTTTTTTGATGTATTTTTTAAGCAAAAATTTAAATTTCTCATAGAAATTCGTCTTCAAATTTGGTTTTTTTTTCGAAATTTTTCAAAAGTTCGGTTGTAATTTTCCCGCAGATTTCAAAAAAACTGAATACATTCATTTCTGTACTCGAAATATTTTTTAGCTTAAAAATTATAACGTGGCGCTGCACCATATGATTCCAGTATTACTTGTGTCGCCTCACGTCACGTTAATGCAAGCAAATGTGGCACGGCATGTTGCGTGGCGCAACGTCACATTAATTAAGCCTGTTGAGTTATAACTTATTTCCATGCGTGCGAGATACTAAGGCAAAACTGGGATGGGCAGAAAAATGAAGACAAAATAGCCAAAAGAGCTAAGAGGCTGAGAAAAAAAAATAAGATAAGGCGTTTTGGTTCATTAGACGTGAATGTCTTAGCTCAGCATCCGTCTTGATATTGTGGTGTAAATTTTAAAAGGTGTGGGAAGGAAGAAGAGGAAGAAATGGGGGAAAGAAGCTTACTAAGTTTACTTTCTTCTTCCTCTCCTAAAGCCCCGATTCTTGAATGTTTCTCAAGTAAATCGCCTTTTTTTGTAATTTGTATCTTTTTCCAGTCTTTCACTGCTGCTAGTCAATATTTCTAATAAAATTTGTTCCCAAATCATCAGTCGCACAAACTTCATCGTTTTGTTCTGAATGAGAAGGCACTGAGGAATACGGCAGGCCCATAATGC